CGACGAGGACACAACCAGTTTCCCGCCCCTGCTCATAGCTACAGCAGTTATCACATCCAAATGGCCTTTGAAGCATTGAATGACTTCTTTGCGTTTCATACACATAACAACTACATCCCCATTGTAGTATCCAAGAATGGCACGGCTGCCGTTCCGAGAAACAAAAGCTGCCGTCACCTTCCCAGCTACACGTCTAGTCACGTTTTCAGATCCTGGTATTCCGCCCTCGCTTTCAGTTCCAGAGCTTCCGCTCACACTATCATGCGCTCCACTTGCACTAACGCTACCACCTCCGGAAAGTCCACTCGTGCTGCGTACCCGTGATTCAGAGTCCTGTGCAACGTTTTCACTAGTGCTGGCAACTTCACAACCTCTTCGCAAGCAGTAGCATGCCCCCACTTTTTTCCTAATTTCTTGACCAACTCTTGCAATCCAATTCTTTCTCTCCGTCCGTTGCAATCGTTCTTCCGGTTCAACACTCGGCCTGGCCACTTCTGTTGATGCATCATCTTGACAAAGAGTGCCCTGCGCCGCTTCTCGTCCCTCTTCCAACACTTGACTCGTCCTGGAGACTTCTGTTTCCGTTTCTTCTTGAGTCACAGTCTCTCCCTCGTCCGACCTCCAGCCCCCATACACATTATTTGAAATCCTTTTCACAACAGTCTCCTGTTGAGTAAATGTGAATACTATCAACGCTGCCGCCACTTCCCTACCATAATTCCATCCTACCACCGCACCGTCTGAATCGAATGCCACGTTGCTCAAAAAAGCTGGAGTCTTGAACGTCTCTAACAACCTCTCACCAGCTCTAGGTAGACATGGACGCAGTGGCAGCAGCCATGGCCCAGGCGCAAACAGCTTGATCTCCGACAAGAACGCCTCTACGCCTCTCAATTCCCGCTTGTGCATCATCCTATCGTAAAGCTGAAAGCAGATACCCGCCACGTGTTCGTCACAAAATGGTGCACTCAAACGCGCAGCTTTCATCACCAATCCTATTGTCGATAACCCCTCGTCTTCAGCGGTTCCAGAGGATCCAATTGTCCCTGTCCCCTGACACGAGACCTCAGTCACATCTTTCACGGCTGCCTCCAGTTGCCACACAGCCTTCCTCAACAAAACTTTAATTACCCACCGCGCACTAACAAGCAAACCACGCAGCTCATTCATCATCTCTCCTTTCAACAACAGACGGCAAATATTCTCGAAAAAGTACTGCTCCCTTGCATCACTTGCCTGAGCCCCTTGATCCTCCACCACTGCTTCCACTACCTCTCTTTCTTTCCGGTAGCTATCTACTACCTTCCGATACCACTTTTGATTCCAACTGCTGCCTTCCATCTGCTTGGCTTCATGCATTGCGAAATCATGCGTGAGGTCATGAAGACGTACCCCCATCTCCACGCTCTTCGACTTTACCTCGAAATGAATGTCAACCAGTCCAACGCTGTTCATCTCTCTTGCATACTTTTCTGCCGCCCTTACATCTCCCGTTTCCCACAAATCTCTCAACACAGTAAGAGGAATCACATCCTGTTTCTTCATCACACACAATCCCCGGTGCATTTCACTAAATGATACACCTTCTCGCCTCCCATTTGAGTCCAGACTTCGTATGGACGAACGAAGCATTGTGTGTAGCGATTCATACTCGTCCTCTGGTTCCTTTGCACCTATCGCTCTAGGCTCCTTGTCTTCTTCGATCTGCTGCAAGTACGACACCCATAACTCTGGCATGTCCCCAACACGATCTCCCCTCCATTGCTTCACGTTAACTCCTGCAATATTCAGTGCTAGTGGCAACCCATGGCACATGTCAAGAATCTCGCAAAATGCCTCTCTCGATATCTCATTCCCTACTTCACTAAACGACGCTCCACTCGTATGAACTAGTATATTGCGAGCAGCTTCCCCTCGATTTTCTCGAGCACTGAACTTCACTTGCTCCCCGAGATGTGTCAGGCTCGGATCTCTCGTAGAGTACAGAACCCTGCTCCTTGGCTCTCCGTCGATCACTGCCGTGTTCGCAAGTCGAGACAGTTTTAGAAGAATCTTCTTATCGTTGTTGTTGCGCGTCCACACATCATCGAAAATAAACAGACATACCCGATTCGCAAACCAGCTCTGCACCCCTGCTAGAACAACGTTAAGGTCCGCCTCCTTAGACAACCTGTCCCCTTCTTCACGTCCCCCAGACACTTTGACAGCATTGCAAAGTTCTTGTTTCAGCTGCCCTTCTCTCGCGTCTTGCCCCATAGTTGAAAAATACACTCCACCTGGAAAGCGCGCAATAATCTCCTTGTCATGCGAAATAGCTCGTAGTGCGCAGGTTTTTCCGACTCCGGCTTGTCCAACCGCCGTTGCCCCTACGTGCGAAGTGCTTCCATTCCTCAACACAGCAGCTTTCAGTTTCCTCTCAAACGCGTCAGGAGCAGGGTGGTTTTCTACGGAACCCAAGTCAACGTGCACTGAAGGAGGGTTGTGGTCAGCTGAAAAACTCGGTATGAACACTTCTTTTCCAGATCTCTGCAATAGTACCTCACTAACCACATGCAGCTCCGTCTGTACCGCCCGCACCTCACTAACGGTATGCAGCTCCCTCCGTACCGCCTCCATAGTAACAATGTGTTCCTTGGCTTTTTGTTGGCGTTCCTTCAACACGTTCTGGTCGCCGATGGCGGACTTCAAGGCACTCAGGTTGCCCTTTGGGTTCTTTGCTTCACGGCGAAGTTCCTCCACCAACTCTGATACAGAGCTCGACACGGAATCGATAATCTCTTGTATTTCATTCTTGTGAAGCGTTTGCAGATCGTCAATAGGAATTTGTGCCACGCGTTCTGTATATTCTTTCAGGTCGATGTACTCTTTCAGCACGTCGCTGGCCAAGGTTCCGTTGGTCTTGTAAGCATCGTGTACATCCATGAGACCACGAACAAGGGCAATGGCATCTTTGATCGGGCCCGTCAGGCCTAGGAGACTGAATGGATCCATGATGGCTGACCGAAATCACGAAAAGTAGAGGTATGGCACGCAAAGTGATCGTGCTCGGTACGCATGGGTTTCTGGGTGTCCCTGTGAGTGTGTAGGGATGTGAGTCAAAGCAGACAGGGTGGACACGCTATGAGTTGGGGTGTGCGTAGGGTTAGCCTTTTGTGCGTGTCCTGTGTCTCGTACTGTTTACCGTACGTCACATTGTTTCTGCCCATCTTCTACGGGGAAGCACAGTAGGCACAGGTTTTACAATCTCACGATTCTTCTAAAAAACTGGTATAATTACTCAGCTATTTCCACACTTCCCCATTTTGGACTCATCCCCAATTTTGACTCATTTCATTTCAAATGCATACCGTTCGGCTGTTTGTCATCACTACATAACACAAGCACACCCTTAGATAGCTAATGATCTGAGCTTTCACTAAGATACAACCATTGATGCATTCTGCCACGAAAATGTACAACAAAAGCAAACAGAGTGCGTGCCTTTTACAAAAATGTGTGACGGGAAACGGATGTGGTCTCGTAGGGCAGACGTAAACAGTGCAGTGGTGGAAACAGAGGTCGAGTGTGCTGGATACGTCAATATTCGAAAGCGGTATATGGGTGTTGAAAACGTGCGGCATTTGTTAGGTGAGCGACAAGATAACTTATAAACAGGGCGACAGTTCCGAAATCACACCGGCCCACCTCGAATGTCGGGTAACCGACCTCGTGGTGAATATGGAGTGTGAGACTGTAGTTGTTGGTATGATTAACAGCTTGGTTGGCATTATGAGTGCATTCTGATGATCTGAGCCTATAAAACACGTTTTCGTTTCATAAAACACGTCATGAGTGCGGTAAATGGGATCGTGTCCTCATTCTTCTCTTTCTCATTGTTTCGTAAATGTCTCTGTGATGCACAGTGAGCAAACGGGGAGGGGTCGCTGGCTAGTGACCGGAGGGATGAATGACTGGATGTCATATGAGGGAATCCTCACAGGAGGAAGCATCACGGTCTCGAGGGACTCGTGAGAAGGGGAGCTCACGGATGCGGACGACACGGTTGGGGCGCGTCCCACCGTGAGCGTTACTCGACTGTTGAGCATCGCAAGGTCTTTGTACACTGTGCGACGATGTTCTTGTCTGCGCGCGTAAAACTGAGAGCCATCGCAACGAAAACTCGGGCAGCGCTACATGTCGGATGAGAACCGAGAGTTGTAAAGAATATTCGTGCAATGCAGGGTGTTGGGACTTTGTGTGAAGTTTGTGAGTTGTCGAATACACGGCGCACACGTGTATAGCGCAGACAAGGAGTAAACACCTGTTCCAACGTGCATCGTGGCCACGATTGTCCTTACAATTACAATACCTTAATTTGGTCCCCGTACATTCAATTTAATTAAATTACATCGGCCCACAGAATAGAAAACATTATTAGCCGATGCCACCCGCAGGCTGCAGCGTTCTTCCTCGTCGCTACAGTACAAAACTTCGTCACAGCCGACCCGGGCCACCGGCGTCATATCTTCTCCTCTTGTCCTCGTCCTTGAGCACGCTCCACGCGACCACGATTTCCTTCATCATCACGTGCGCCTGCTCCGACTTGCCCGGGTTGCGGTCGGGGTGGTGCTCCATCGCCTTGCGTCTGTACGCCCGCTTGATATCTGCCCGGCTAGCCCCGGACTCGATCCCCAGCACCGCGTAAAAGTCCGCCTGGCCAAAGCTCGACGGTCGCCCCGTATTCCATGCCCGCTTGCTCCCGGTCGACGAGCCGCGCCAGCTACTCTGCTGCCGGTTCCACCCGCTCCACCCGCTGCCGCTGCCGCTGCTGCCACCCCCGGAGTCCGCGCCGGCGCCTGCTGATTTGCCGTCTGCACGCTCGTCGTGCTGGTACCGGTACCCACCCTGCTGGTACCCGCTCCATCGGTTCTTGTTCGTCCCCCACGCGTACGAGCTGCCCTTCCACTGCTGGTATCCTCTCCCAGTGTCGTGCGCGGAAGAGGCGCTCCGCCTGGGCCCGTTGCCCTGGGACACCCCGTCCCAATACTCCTTGGAGTTCTGCTGGTCCCATGCATACCCGTTCTGCCCCCACTTGTCCCCCGCCGCCGAGTCCCACGCGCCCTTGGCTTGCCACTTCTCGTTGGTGTCGCTCCACGAGCTCCAGTACGCGCCCCACAAGTCCTTGTCCCACGACACCTCTGTCCACTGCTCGCTGTTGCGCGTGCACCACGACGCCCACGCGTCGCGCTTCTCCTCCTCGCTGCGGCGGTTGTCGCGGTTGACGCGCGCCTGCGCGGCCCACTTGCGCTCAAACTCCACGCGCATGCCCTCGCGCACGCCGACCCAGCTCTGCCACACCTCGCTCTCGACTCGGTCGCGCTTCATCTGCTGGAACACCGAATCGGGCATGCCGGATGGCCGGTCCTGCCCCCCGACCTCGAAGTCCTCGCCCTCGTCAAACAGTCGCCCCTCGCGTGCCACCACCTCTTGCGTCAGCTTCTGTACCGCCTTGCGCCGGAACCCGTACAGCATCAGCATCGAGAAGAGGCTCTCGAAGGTGTCGTCCGACGCTACGCATGCCATCGCAAACGCCTCTGTCAGGCTTTTCTCCGGCTTGCCCAGCGCGCACGGCGCGGATAGGTACTCCAGCACGGAAGTCCCCGCCAGCGGCACAACGTTCACCCCGTAAACAGACCACGCCGACAGGCGATCCGCGTACGGCAAACTGTGCCCGCTCGGGATAGAGTAGAACACGGTGACGCGGTTGGTGCGATTCGCGCCTTCTCCTGACAGGGCGCGGAAGCGGCCCCATTCGATGAGGCTCTTCGCGGCGGCAAACCCCTGCGGCGCGTCCGCAAACACGTATAGGTCGCCCTTAGTCTCCGTGACGATCTCCCAGTCGAGCCCCTTGCCGAGCACGGTGCTGACGCGGAGCTCCTCGCCGACGCGCATGGCGGCGAGGCGCAGTGGGTCATTACGGCGGTTGATGAGGACGTCGAACTCGCCGGTGGCGCCCGGCGGCGACGCGATAGTGGCGAAGGCCGCGCGCGGCTGGCGGTGCCACGGCAGCACAGACAGCCGACGGGACAGCTGGACAAACTGCCCCGGCGCCGCGTGCGTGAAGGCCGGGCCGACCGAGAACGTGACCTGCACGTGGTCCTGCGACGGGCACACCGGCGTGACGCGCTTCACCACGGCCGGCAGGAGCGTCAGGTCCGGCGCGGAGGTGGACGTCATGGATGAGAACTCGTGCGGGAGGGCGCAGCGCGCGTGGCGCGCGGGCGAGGGCGGCGGGGCTGACGGGAGAGGGGGCACGAACGGGGACGTGCGTACGCGGGCGGCGGAGGCGAAGGCCCGCGCGGGCAGGGGGGAGGGGGGGAGGAAGGCCATGGTGGTGTGGGGCGCGATGGGGGAAGCGAGGGGGGTGGGGGGGGGGGGGGGATGCGGTACCCTGTGTCGGCTGCGGATATACAGCAAAATATTGCTCCTCTCCTCCCCTACCATCGTCGCTTGATCGCGAAGAACTTCTTGTATACTCGATACGACGTGACGACAACGTCGGTATCTCTTGCTCCACAGCCTCACGGGCGAGGTCGGCCGCATCCTTGGTAGACTGCGGGTCGCCATAGTACTCGTTGGGCCACGATTTATCTGCAACCCTATGCGATTTTCATTGCCGCCCTGTCTGTCGTGTATGAGATCGCGCAAGTACCTGTACATCTGTGGTGCGAACGTGCCGTGTATAACCTCTCTAGAGAAAAGAGTCAGGAGGCAGGTTGGTGTACGCCTCTTGGGCCGTGCAGCCAAAATATCCCTTCTGTACCACTGAGTACATCCACTGGAACAGTAGCCTTGTTTCGGGCTGTTGTCATCAGGCCTCCATGTGACTGTCTGCATCAATTCCTGTACGGTGGCTGGGAAAATATGCGTCAGGTTGACAGTTGGAGGGGAGGACACGTGGTGTGCGGTATCCTCAATCGTTGGCGTTGGCGGCGTCCGGTAATTCAAGTCCTCAGTCGCGTGATGCGGCGCCTCCCGATTCGACATGGTGCTCCAGCCTTTTCACATTCCACGTGCGTCAGCTGAACATTCCGGAATGTAGTTTGACTGATTGTAATGAACTTGGTGGAGCAGAAACATGGCTGGACTTCGGAACAGCCGGTTTTTCCTCGATATCCGTGGCCTTGCCATTGCTGTCAAAGGCGACGACAC